CTATCTCCTCTCCTCTTTATGTGAGTTCCATGAGAGCAGACTTGGTCAGTTTTGTTCATTGCTGCATTTCCAATGCTGGAAACAGTAGACAATAAACATTTGTTGAACAAATAAATGAATGGAAAAATACTTTCAGTGGTTTCCTCTGGGGCTGTAAGAGGTGAGAGGGAATTTTTCACTTTTTCCTGGGTACTTCTGTATGTCATTAGATGTATTTTGTCAAGAGCTTATATCACTTTTGTATTTTATAAAATCAATCAGGTCAATTTTTTTTAAAAATCCCATGTCCAAAATTTATTATTATTTTGTCTGTTAACAGCCACTTGAAGACAAGCCATAGCAGTTACCAACTAAGAACAACTTATGGAAGAAACATTTAACCTGGAAAATTTTATCCATTTCCCCGTGAGTTGGAAAAATATTTTCATTTATATTGCTTTTATATTTGTGTTGCTCTACTTTAGCAGTAAACTATTCAGACCCAGTTGGTGGCACGTCCCGAGGCCACAGCAGCACATTTCTGTCCTGTAGAGGCGTGGAACCAAGCACAGTCCACAGTGCTGGATAGGGAGGTGGGAGAGGCACGGCTCGAACAAGGTTTTTTCACAAAGCGTGAGCGACGTTAACTCATTAAAAAGGACAGTGAAATAAAAAGTGAAGTTAGAAATTGGAAAACACTCGGTGGAGCACTTTAAACCAGCCCCTTTGAGGCAGAACTTCTTGGCGCCTTCAAGATGCTCATGCTCATTGTCACTCTCCAGGAGGGGCGACAGCCTCCTGAGCTCTTGTGACCACAGCATCCTTTTCACAGTGCTTGTAATATTTAGGGGACCGAGTGTGGGAAACACTGATATCGGAAATTTCTGAAGGTAAAGGTGTTTCTTAAGAGGAGTTCTGGTAGGTGTTACGTGGTCAGAGGAGTAGGTGTTAGAATAAACTATCGGGGTTGATAGAGCCCGCATAGCTGGAGAGAGGACGTCGCCACTGCACTTCTGAGGACCACAAGACGCATGGGGCGGGAAGGATGGTGACAGGATCAAGAAAGTATGAAGAAAGGAAAATCTCAAAACGTATTTCCCAGCTTATATCATTGTAGTAAGTGCAAGGTCTCTTTCCTGAAATCAGCATTTGTCTAAAGCTTCCCTTTGGAGTTGGCTGGGCCCGATTGAAAGGGAGCCGTGGCTTGCCCCTTTGAATTCCCTGAGGAGTGAGGAGAGCATGACTAAAATGAAGCGTGCTGAGGCTGTGGAAGTCTCGTGAGGTGTCGTTTCCGTAGAGAATGAAGCAGAGACTTGTGCAGAGTGAGCCTGCGCTGCGTTTGGGACTGCGAGGCCGAAGGCCCTTGCTGGTCCTCGGGCAGGGGCTGCTTGCTGCGAGCACGGCGGATGCTGCAGTCCATGACATCAGTCCCCTGGAAGCCCGTGGGTGGCAAATAGAAAATGCCCAGAAAGAGCTGAAATGCATCTCCCTTCATAACCACCCCTTCTCTCTTCTGAAGCCGCCAGTGCTAAACAGGGGTCCCCCCATCTAAGTGCTCATATGAACCTTCACACCTTTTTCTGTAGCATTTTTCACTGTCTTGAACAGTGTTCCGTGCCAGTTCCCGTCTCCTCCATTCTGCGGAACTTCGGCATTATCCCAATGTAACCACTCCTCTTTGATGGACGATTAGGTTGTTCCTAATGTTGTCATTACGACAGCATTGTAGGCACTAGGCAAGTTTTTACATGGTTTTAAGCACTTCACATGTCATCCTCACAATTCCTCTGAGATAGGGATAATTAACCCTGTTCTTATGGATAAGGAATCTGATGTGCTTACAGGAGAAATCAGTTGCCTCAGGTTACAAGCCAGTAAGCGGTGGAGCCAGATATGAACTCAAGTAATCTTGTCTCCAGAGCAACACTCTGAATCATTTTATTAGACTGCAACATTTTTACACATAGGGCATATAATCTTTTAAGTTGAATAGACCTAATTTTACCACTGTGCTGTTCTCATGTTTTTCGTTTCACTGAAAACTGGCTAAAACTTAACCTTGGAGTGGCATCAGGCTACAGACGAGGTAGCTTTCAGGGTACCAAGCCAAGTGTTTGTTTGTTTGTTTTCATTGCAGCATTGTTTATAAGGAAAAACTGGAAACAAGAGATTAAGAGCAAAGAAATGTCTCAACAAAAAATAGTACATCCACTTGATAAAAAATAACATAGACAAGTATTCTTTTAACACATCTTTGCACACAGATGTGAGCATTCTTTCAGGAAAGGTCACAAGAAATAGAATATATTAACAGAAACCCTCATTCCAAATTTCAAATTCCTAAGTAAAAGGGAAACAATGAAGATGACAATTGGGGATGGTTAAGCGGCAGCTTGTTCTGCAAACTGTGGGACGTCAAGACACATAATGATGTGCAACACAAGCAGTTCTGATAAACACATGGGATTTGCTTTTTGGGAATAGCACAGGTCCACAATAAAACAAGTTTAAAATAATTTGGAAGACTGACCCATGTATACTGAGGACACCAGCCTAACACGTTACAAAGGTCCCATAAGCAACCCTTTTTGGCAGTTTCTGAGATTATAAGGGGTGGAGAGGTCCAGGAAGACATTCCCTTAAAGGAAGGGCAGATAAGGTATTTATTTGCACAATGGGCTGTAACAGAATCTTCATGCATCTTCCTTCCCACGTGCTCTTTAGCATTTGGACCAACACTGGACTTGAAAACTATTCCTGGGAGCTAGATGAGAAACTAAGTGGATAAGGAACATAAAATTGTGTATGTAGGTGATAGGACTGAGTTATCATGGCTTGAGGTATGTGAACAAATCTTATGTTTATCCACTCTTCATCGCTTTCTATGTTATCCCAAACTTGCACCTGTATGTTTCCCCACTGCATTACTGGCCTCTCACCAGCAGTCAAGAGAAGTGAGCAGGAACCACAAACCACAATTGGCCTCAGTTGTATTCAGTGTAGAGCAAGGTTTGAGGCTAAGAGTGATACACCCACTTCCCAAAACCAGTTGATAGCACAGGTTGTTGAAGACCAACACACATTTAGAGCCTTTTCTTTGCTGATTTCAAGTTGTGTGCAGAGTGAATTTGCTGAGGTCCATGAATACCATAAGGGGTCCCTGTGGGAAGGAAGAGAACCCAAGAATTAGAGCAACAGCTGAAACCTTTCTCAAGGGATTCACAAGACTACAGACCTGCAAGCCTGTCAAGTCAGCTAGTGATTTGGGAGAAAGGACGACTGTGCAAGTCCTATTGCCCAAACCATCACTAGTCTTCACTTATTCAGTGAAGTGCTTTATTTCTTCAGGTATTAACCAAAGTTTTTATTAAGTGTAAAGTTAAGTGTAGGAAAGAGAACTTTTAACCCTTAAAACCCCGCTTTACTTGCAGGCCTATTTATTATTCAGCAAAAAGCCTGTCTTGAAAGCACTAGTTTGAGGACATCCTAAAGGTGAAGGAAGCTAATAAAACTTGATGAATTTTCTGAGCTAAGTCAAAGTTGACACTAGAATTCCAGTCTTGCCTCAAGGCCCCTAACTACGTCTTGAGCAAGTGAAAACACTGGGACTGGGAAAGATGTAACTTTGCAATCTGACAGTGAATTTAATATGTCCCCTTAAGTCTAAGGCAGGCTTTTTCAAGGCTTGAAATTTATTACCTCTAATGGTTCAATATAGGCAGCTTTCCCCTTTTCTGGCCCAAGTTTTATTAATTACCATTCCTAAGGAGTTGAAGCATTCATTCACCAAGTCTAAAATTAAGTGCTATCTCCAGTATGTAACTTAACCAAGACGACCAGTTAAGTATCCTGATTTAACGTGTTCAAATTTAATTAGGTGGGTTTCTAGGACAAAAGCTTAAGAAGCTATTACTAAGGCAGTTTCTAAAATTGTGCACCAAGTATTCCTCAGGTACAGCTGGAATAACAAAGGCATGTTTCTAGACGATGCTTGGCTTCCAACATTTTATTAAGTGCACCTCTGGGTGATTCTTACCCTGAACATTGCACTTGTGGTCACACCAGCTTTAGTGCCATAAGATCTATTTCCTTAGCATAGTCTAAAATTGAGAAAACGGGGGCTTCCAACTCCTTCCCCTTAGTTGCACTCCCTTCTCACCACTTCGTTTTGTCCCACGTTGAGAACCACCGCTGAAGAATTTGGGAACGGTAAAGGGGGGAAAGGTTCAGAACTTAAAGCAATTAAAAAAAAAAAAGTACCTGGTATCCAAATAAATCCTTACTCCCTCACTTTTGTTAGTATTGGAAATACACTGCCTAGTGTTTATTGGTACGGGAGCACAAAAACGGCTTGTCTGGCTTAGGCTAGACTTACCACGTCCCAAATTAAGAGAATCTTCTCTACTGCCATTTTATCTTCCTCACAGCGAGGTAAAGCCGTCATTAGGAACCACATAATTTGCTGCCAAACACAGCAGTCAGCACGTTGCCTTAGATTAGGATTCCCTTTTAACTCCAGGATTCTTTCAAGCAGTCGTTCTCCCTAGCCTTGCTGACTAGGGCTCCACCTGATTCTTCGCTGTTTACATGAAACATAATTGAGTTCCATTTCACTATCTAAGGCCAAATACTTAAGTGCAGTGCATTAGGAGAGCAAAAAAAAAAAAAGCACAACCAAGGATCACAAGACTCGAAAGCAGTTACAACTGAGCAGCTTCAACATTTCTCTAAAAATCTTGGTTACCAGCTATTGGAGGTGGAGGCAGGCAAATTTGCTCCCCCTTAATATGCCTCTATATTCAACTACTTTACATTGCTTACTTTAAAATGGTTTTAATTACACCAGAATCCTAAGTTGTAAATAACCTTGAGTAAACGGTTGGCACACCCAATTGTTTACCGAAGTCAAGTGACTTAATTTTGGTCACACTAACAAGTTAAATCCCTTCCCTGAACACCATTTTAACTAGTTACAAGTACCCACCATCACTATGTTATTTCAGAACAAGACACCAGTATGCTACCATGCAACAAAACCTTTATTAACATTTTGAACAGGTTCAGTTATTACTGAAACCGGCAATTTCTAAACTTAAATTGGGGCAAATGGCTAGAGTGCAGAGTAATGCCATCACTGGGCGATATGGATGCAGGACTGAAGAATTAACAGCCACCCCTCAGACGGAGGACCAGATGCAGGGTCGACTCCTTCTGGATGTTGTAATCAGAAAGAGTGCGGCCATCTTCCAGCTGCTTGCCTGCGAAGATGAGCCTCTGCTGGTCAGGAGGGATGCCTTCCTTATCCTGGATCTTGGCCTTCACGTTCTCGATGGTGTCGCTGGGCTCCACCTCCAGGGTGATGGTCTTGCCGGTCAGGGTCTTCACGAAGATCTGCATACCACCCCTCAGACGCAGGACCAGATGCAGGGTCGACTCCTTCTGGATGTTGTAATCGGAAAGAGTGCGGCCATCTTCCAGCTGCTTGCCTGCGAAGATGAGCCTCTGCTGGTCAGGGGGGATGCCTTCCTTATCCTGGATCTTGGCCTTCACGTTCTCGATGGTGTCACTGGGCTCCACCTCCAGGGTGATGGTCTTGCCCGTCAAGGTCTTCACGAAGATCTGCATTTTGACCTATAGAGTTTAAAAGAAAAACGTTACTGTATCACCGCAGATCTTATCACTACCTTTATATGAAATCATTTCTTTGAAACGAACAGATCATCCCCAAATACCTTAAACTACCTGAAAGTCTCACAAATCTCCCCCGATTACTACACTAGGCGTAAAATAACACTGGACATAATATTTCTTAGTCAAGACGTCAACCTAAACGGTATGGAGACTCGGAATCACTGAGATCAGCATTCAGATTTTTCTTAACTGTTCCAGATCCTTCGCTAAGCTCCTCCCGCCCCCAGTTTTGCCCAGACCTACAGGATACGCAGCATTAGAACAAAAATTCCCTTTTAAACGGAGGTGGGGTGCGACACCTTCCCCTCATTGGGTTTCTAAAGTTTCACAAACCCCCCTGAACTACCTCTTTTCCACCTTCCCCCGCTGAAGCAGACACGACGGAATCTCCATCGGTTAAGTGGCCGTTGGTCTCTGCGGGTGGGCGGGCGGGAGCGCCAACCGCCCCCGCTCCCCACACGTAAACAAGAGCCGCTCTTCCGGAAAGGCCGGCGCCGCGTCACCTCGCCTTCCCCTCCCCCACCCCAGGCCTCCCAACCCCAAGAACACGCCAGCTCGCCCTCCCCGGGCCCCCTCGTTACTTCTCTCGGCTCTCGCAAGCTTGAGGGTCAATACCTGTCAACGAACGCGAAAATACTGCAAATTCAATCACGTCGCGTCACTTCCACACCAGCACAGAGTCTACACACAAAGCCAGTCGCCTCTGAGGGCTCCGGCTCGGCGGGGCCGGGATTTATGCGACGTCTGTTGCGTCATTCATCACTCCTACGTAGGCGTCGTGTCCCTGCGCCGCTGAAAGTAGTCCGTTCGGCCCCACCTCCCGCGACGGAGTTAGGCCCTTTAACTGAGCCCTAAATTCCTCAAAGCCAGAACAAAGGATCCTAACAGATCGGCTTCTCTCTCTCCCTGGTCATCCTTCTCCTCCCTTAGGAAAAAGTAGGAAAATCATCAGGCGGATGAATTCGAGTTACGGGGACCTTCCTCGAAAGCTCTGGAAACTTCCTTGGGGAGCCGGTGCTGATTGGTGAGGCCCGTGAGGCGAGTCCGGCGCTGATTGGTGGGGGACGCGGCAGCTCCGCTGTTGCTGGGCTCCCGCTGGGGTGGTTCAGCGCCGATGTTGCTAAGTAACTGAGCGCGCGTGCGCAGCAGAGGCGCGCCTTCGCGAGAGAACATACTTCCGGCCCGAGGTGGAGGAGGGGTCCTTCGCTCCCGATTCCAAGCCCCGGTCCCCTCAGATGTCGCGCTTTCGGGTCTTAGGTGAGGGAACACCGGGCTCCGCGGCGACTTTCCCGGGAAGGCCGTCCGGTCCCGGTCTGGAGGTTCCCAGGAGTAGGGTGGCGCTGCCCGCAGATGTTTCCCCAGTGTCTGCTCTGAAGCACAAGCTCCCCTCACACTGGCCGGTTTTTATTTTCGCTCTTGTCTAGAGCAGGTTGCGGAGCTTTTGTTACACGTTATACTTACAATGCTTTTATCGTGCTCTGAGGAGACTAGATCGAGCCTGCCGGCGAGACTCCCTGCCGGGCCCCGGTTTCCCCGCCCTCACCGCGGAGAGCCCCCCCCGCGCCCTCCCTCACGGTGGAAGACCCCCCACCTTCCTCACCGCGGAGGACCCCCTCCCCACCTTCCTTGCCGCAGGGGGCTCCCCCACCTCAGAACCGCAGAGGGCCCCCCCGCCCCCGTCTCCCCAGCCTCGCCGCGGAGGATCACCCCCAACTTCCTCACCGCAAGGGGCTCCCCTCCCCTTCCTCACCCCGGAGGACTCCCGCCCCCTTACCGTGGAGGTCCACCCCCACCCCCAACACACTGCGAAGGCCCCTTCCCCTTACTCCGCGCGCAGGTCCGCCCCCCGTCCCCGCAGGGACCCCGTGGCGGTGCTTAGATCTGGCTCCGGCCAAACCTGCACATCCCTTTTCCGCATTGCTGTGCGTCCAGGCTGTGGTAGGGAAAGAGCGGTATGTGGATTAAGGAGCTGAAAACCCACTTCAAAAGACAGAATTCATGTACAAGAAATAACTAGTATTTTCAGTATTGCATTCATGTGTTGGTTGTGCAAGCGACCCTAAAAGTGGGTTTAACCAGCTAGGACCACGCCGCTGCTTCCGTGCTTTCCGGGTGTGGCCCCCAGTCTGGCAAGGAGATAACTCCACGGGACGTGAGTAAGGCAGGCGTGTCTGGATCCCAAGCCCGTGTCTGAGTCATGCAGGTGGCCGTGTAAATAAGCATGCGAATGTCTGTTTGTCACGTAATAGCGAACTTCCTAAGTGAGACGTGGTCTAAAGATTTGCTCAATCATAGAAGCTAGCTGGATATCACTTACAAAAGATCGTTAGTCGTTAATGGACAAAATTTTAAGCATAATATTAAGAGACTATATGATGGATGTACAGTAGGACAGATATGAGTTAACACCTAGACAGCTCTAAGTTCAGTATATTAAAACTTCATTAATATCCACTTACATGAATAATGGGAGATAGAAATAGTTACTTTAAGATAATTGGGACTGAGAGGTAATTGATAAAATGTTTATCGTACGAAGTATGAATTTCATTTTTGTTTGCCTAATAGTGAGTCTGAGCATGTTTCACCAACTAACAGCTCCTCCTGAGTCATACATGTGAGTTGGTAGAATGATCTAGAATGAAGATCTCATGGTTTGATATGATGACTTCGCTGGGAATTCTAGCAGTTGCCAGAACTAAGTTAGTCATACAGCTTCCTGGTTTAATGTTTTCCCAAACCGGGTCGTTTGGTAACATCAACAAAGCAAAATGTTTTCAGAAGGAAGGTGTGTGCTTTCCTTGTACAGTAAACAAGATGAATTTTTATGGTCTGTTCATAAACAAAACTTTTAATAATAACATCATTTCTGGTAATTTATTGTAAAAGGTAATTTGTAAACAAAGAATAGACCAACAAAATGCCAAAGATCAGAGATTTGGAAATGTGGCACAGTACTTGGCATTGTGCTCAATAATTGTATTTTCAGTGAGATTTGGTTTCCCTTTTGTTCAGCTAGGGGGAAAAAACAACTCTGTGACAGCCTTAGACACGTAAAATACAAAACAAAAAGTGTTTATTTAATATTTATAGGCAAATGGCTTTTTCCAAGGCAGTTTCTTTGAAAGAAACAAAGGAATTGATTCTGAGATTCATAGTGATTTTTTTACTTGGCTGGAGGTCTTTTAATAAAATTCTATGAGAAAACTGTGGTTCCAATTATAAATTCACAATTGTTTTTTTGACAATATCAGCTGGTATTTAAATATGGAGTTAGTCTGTCATTTGTGGTTTCCTTGTTTGACAATTGATCTCAACAGAATTATGAGACTAACTCCTAATTTCTTACCAGCGAGTTAGAAACGTTGATGTTGAATGTTCAAATAAACACAGAGCAAAATTCTATATTGTCTTTGTATTGGGCCTCAAAGTTACAAAAA